GTACCTTATTGCCATCAGCTACTGAAACTGCAAATGTTGAGATGGCAGTCAAAGCACATCCCAATCTCTTGGCAGTATTGAGATCCAAGAAATTGTGGGTGCTGCCAGTATCAATAAGTACGTGTACTGCTTTTCCCTTAATAGAGACTGTCACTCTCATGGTTCTAAAATCATGAATACCATTCATAGCATGCACAGATACATGGGGTAGGATGGAACCTTCAAAATCAGTTTTTAAACCTTGTGCTATCATGGTTAGTAATTCTGCAGGATCCAACATCACTTCTTCATCCAACTCTACTGGTTCAATGCCCTCATCCACTTCCATGGAAAACAATTGTCTTCTCTTGCAGATGTGGCCTTGAGTGTACTTCTCATCACAGTTAAAACATAATCCTTTACTCCTCTCATCCATTTCAGCATGAGTTAAGAGTTTAGCATTTTTGTAGGGTAGTTTAGGATTATTGGGATAAGGGTGTTGGTGTTTTGGAAAGATTTGAGCAGAGGGTTGGGTGAGAGACTGGTTTGATCCAAAGTGAGAAGAAGATGGTTTCACTGGAAAGTTTCTAGGATTATTTCTGGGGTTTGGCAAAATAGGTGTTGAAAAGAAAACATGTTTTTGGATTTCTAAAGTTTGTTCCTGAATTCTTGCTAGGCTAATGGCTTTGGCTAAGGATCTAGGATTCAACATTTTAACAGGCAGTCCAATTTCGAACTTCAGTCCCCTTATGAAGCAACTAACAACATATTCATCTTGCAATTCTACTCTATTAAACAATTCATCAAAAAGGTCAATGTATTCTTGAACAGTTGTTACCTGCCTTAGGTCTTTGAAATCTCCCATTGGATCGTCAAACAACTCTGCTTCAAATCTGGAATAGAGACACCCTACATACTCCCCCGGCGAGGCCACTCTCTTGTAACCCTTGATTTCATGAATCCTTGATTCCATTGAAGAGCTCGGCCTTCAAGTTTACAAGAAGCCAACTTCACCTTTAAATCTTCAGGAGTCTCGCCTACATCGAAGAACTGCTCACACTTATAGAGCCAATCCTTCAGCCCAGTTCCATCAAATTTAGAGATGGCCACATCCACTTGATAATTCCTAAAGGGAGGTTGATGTTCGACAGCTCTGGCTACTCGATTCTCTGTGCGATTTCTCAGAACTTCTTCACCTCTATCTATTACTGGTTCATTCTGCACGTGGTTCTCTCCATTGACAAGCATCATCTTCTTAATCTCTTCCAATGCTTGGACAAATTTTGCTTCCACTGAAGTACTCAATTCTGCAACTGTGTGAACTACAGAATCTACAGAGCCTTTGAGGCTATCAACATCCTTGCGTAATTCTGCCATTCGCGTGCTATGATCACCCATTATCGCAGCCAAGGAATCACTGCTCTGATACCAATGATACGCACCAGAAATTCTGGAATTAAAAAGAAGGAACACCTAAAGAGTAACGAGAAGAACTACTCTTGAACAGTGGTTCCAAGAGCTTAATGAAGCTCGATCGATTTGAGAGAATAGAGAAGAGAGATTGTTATTAATCTTCACAACAATAGCTGAGTACAAAAGGAAGGTTTTGTGAGCTATATAGGTGAATCCACGTGATGTGCAGTTAGTTAGTTATAACTAACTTCTGGAAGTTACATGACCCACACGTGCCTCTTCTAACAACCTTCAACTAACAGTTTTAACTACTTACTCGACTACTCCTTATCATTTAACTATGGAATTTAACTATGATTACTCCACTAACTGTGGTTATTACATGCAGATACGTATCAGAACTTCACAGTTTTGCCCTATATGTCATTGGACTTATTTATGTAGTATGTCATATTTTTTATTTATACCAGACAATTAAAGAAGTGGAGTAAACTTGTTTGGTTGCGAAAGCTTTGTGCTAATACAGTTTCTGTTTTTCCCAGAAAATTTGGTGTAGTAGCGGCTCAGGGTTCATTGAAGTCTAGTTTGAATTTGAAGTTAACTTTCAAGCCTTCAAGAAATATTCATATGGAAAACAAAGAAAACAGCAGTTCAAGAGGTGCCTTAATTGTTTTAGAAGGGCTTGACCGCTGTGGGAAGACTTCACAATCTAGCAGACTATACAAGTACCTTGATGAGCAAGGATATTCAGTTGAATCATGGAGATTTCCTGACAGAAATACAGGTGTTGGGCAAATGATTTCTTCTTATCTTGCTAACCAGTCGCATTTGGATGACCATGCGATCCATCTTCTATTCAGTGCAAATCGTTGGGAGAAGAGGTGTGCCCATTAGTTTGGCGATTCCCTTGTTTTGAACCGCAGTAAATCATTTAGAAATTTGTCAGACTCAAACTGTGATGTCACTAGAGGACATGTGTGGAAATGCAGGCCAGCTACTCGTGAATTATTCTCATATTCTTTCCGTGCTAGTTTCGAACTAATAAGCAGATGTTTCAGTTTTTGACAGAGAGCTAAAATTATCTCTGTATAACATCGAAAGATGAACCAAGTGGTGTTGACGTTCTCTCTGCTACTATCTATTTAAAATAGCTACTTGACAAGCTCTCTGCATAGATTGTCATTTTTTCCAGGAAAGTATGGCATTAACAGACGAGCATTTATAATATGCATTTGTGTTCTTCAACTATCTTAGGTTGTTGCTTTAGGGTTTTGGTTTAGTAAAAAGGACCCAGCAAGTGATATGTGGCTTAGGCGCATGTCACGTGTTAACTCTGCCAAGGATAAAACTTGGTATTTAAGTTGGGAGGAGGGTAAGGGGCGTGTTCATACTCCCCCGAGTTTGCAACCTGTGTGCCAGCTGGAATCTGGCTAGAGTCCGCAGTGGAGGAGAAAAAATTCCCGTAGATTGTTGAAAGATTTTCTTTGACTTTCCTTCCCTCGCAATTAATCATGTACCTTTTTTGAGTATGGTATGATCTTCTAACCAAAATGGAAGTGTTAATGACCTTTTGCTTGCTTTTTTATCTATTCCCTGCCAATAGTCTTGTCTTCAACATAAGGCTTCAACCAAAACAATAAAACTTATTATCTTGGTATCTATTTAAGTACCAGTCTTCATTTTCTTTAACAATATTGCATTGAATTTTATTGTCATTTAACAGAAAGATTTACCTGTTTTGTTTGCGAACAGTTTTACTTCCACTTCCAATTGTTTCTGTAGGAATTTTCAGTCAGATCAGCTCAGTGTTGTTAAGCTGGTGCATTCAGATAGTTCTAATTTTGCTTTCCCATTCTGCAGAATGTTAATGGAGGATAAGCTGAGGAGTGGAACTACTCTCATTGTTGATCGCTATTCTTATTCTGGAGTAGCATTCTCATCTGCCAAGGGACTTGATATTGAATGGTGTAAGGTAACATCGAGTCTTACTTCCTCAACATTGCTATTTGGTTTCTCAAATCAGTTTTAGCAATGAGATCTTTTACCGCAGGCTCCAGAGATAGGGTTGTTAGCTCCGGATCTGGTTGTATACCTTGACATATCACCTGAGGTAGTTTTCATTATCTAGTCTTGTTTTTCTTCGCTCGCCTTATGTTTAGGAGATAGTCTGTGAATTGAAATTTCCACAACTGAAGTCTAAATCTGGATGGATGTGGATTTCTTAAGCAATCTCTGGTCCTGTCAGATATGTTCATTTCTAATCCAGGATAAAGCCTATTGCTATATCGGTTTATATTTCCAGTTGTTTGCAGGTTACCATTGCTTCACTTGTAAATATATATTCTTTTTCATCAGTCATTTTATTATATGAAAGATATGCTCCTGTAGTGATTTGATTGTGGATATTGATGATTTGGTCTTGAAAATAACCAGAAAGCCGCAGAGAGAGGAGGTTATGGAGGTGAGAGATATGAGCAGCTTGAGTTTCAAAAAAAGGTTGCCAAGTCTTATTTGACTCTTCATGATTCCTCGTGGAAGGTAGTTTTCCTTCCTTTGTTTTCTTCTAGGTGCAACAACAAATGATGGTTTAATAAAAGGTTATGTAGCAAGTGATATGATATTAAACATTGATACTAACTTTTTAGTTTTACTTCAGTACTCTTTGAGTTTGTTTGGACGTTTCCTATCAATTTTTTTGTATCCATTACATGAGTATGGTTATTAAGGTTAATATAAAAGCATTATATTACACCTTATTAACTTATGCTATGTGAATTGATTATATCCTATTAGTGAAGACTCTGATCTTATATTCTTTGAAGCTTTTGATACATTAATTACTTTCATTTACAAGATAACAGATTAACCTTGTATAGCTGCTCGTATAAGCATCACATCCAAAGCTGGGGCAATAACTGTTTTTTTTTTAATGTTGTCTTTGCTGTATTGTAGGTTATTGATGCAACCCTTCCTGTTGAAGATATAGAGGAAAAGCTCAGAGAAATTGTATTAGACTCTATCACGATATGCCAAAAAGGGAAACTATTGTCTCAATTACGGTCATCGTAGGTCTAGTGTGCTGAATATGGCCATGAATGTGCAAGTCCCTCTGTAACATGGTCTCCTTTTAGTTTGAGTTTGGCATATATTTATCTTCTTAGACATTCCCTTGTAACTGTGGAAGTATTTTGTCTTATAGATCCCTGTGTACCAGCTTGCTCTCCACATCTTTTGGAGTGTGTGTATCTGGAATAAGTCTTGATATTATGGAGTCACCTTCTTCTGTCGATTCAAATTTGCATGTTTTGATGATGTTGAAGCCAAAATTTCTTTCTTGATCCGTCGAACAATTGTCAACCAGGGATCATTATCAATTGTCAGTCGAACAATCCGTCTAATTACCATATGCTTTTTCCCTTCAAACTATATATTCACATCAAAGTTTTACCGGAAGTAACAAGATGGATAACATTTGCTGTTAAAAGGGCTTATCCTGTGCACCAAGTGCTCCCGGCTGGTGTGCATACAGTTTATAGAGTGGACATATACGGTATCCCTTGCACTTACGCAAAGAATTAAGCTATTTCCATGCCTTGAACATGTCACCATGACACAACTGTATCACTCTGTCAAAGTCACAATTATTGCTCTCAAGCATTTGGAAATTTATACACCACAGCTCTACAGTTCAGGTGAATATATATTTGCAGAACTTCTATTGGCTGGTAAAGTGTTAAAAGGTTTACTTAGATGACTTAATCTACACATCTATGACATATACTAGTATGATGCTTCAGTCCTTTACATCTCAACTCTTGCCTACGCTGCTGCTTCTTAGGTGCTCCACCACTGCTTTCGTTCCAGTGAGATATTCCACTAGTCCTTTCAAGTAGTCAGTTAGCAAAGAATTAACGAATGAAAAGGAAGTTTTACTCAACGACATGTGTAATGACTGCAAATAAATATGCATTTAGCATGTATAGGGCAAACAACTTATACTGCATCTTTCCAATTTTGGTTATAACCAAAGGCAAATATAATTCAGTGTTGCATTTCTTTACTGAAGAGAATTACCATTTGCATAGTTTCTGCAGTCATGATGGTTGATCCTCAAGTCAGTTTCCCACCCTTCGTTGAATTTGTTTGCCGCATCTATTGCATCACTCTTGGAGTAGCCAGCAAACCAGCACTTCCTTGTTGGCAGCTTCTTCAGAGTCCTCATACGAACAACTCCTGACATGGTATAAACTTGGAGACATGAATTACGTAGGAGATGATGTTGACAACACTACCAATCAAACTTAAAACCACAGATATATGAACTTATAATGGTTAAGAGACGGCAAAAGCTTGTTTTACTTCCATAAAACATTGATGATAAAAGTTTAAAGTGCTCATTTCCTATTGAATGATGACCATATGGATGTCGGCTCAACAACAACAACAACAACCCAATGAAATCCCACATGCGGGGTCTGGGGAGGGTAATTTGTACGCAGTCCTTGAGAAATATGGATGTCGGCTCAATCTGAAGTAAATTACACGCAGAAGCTTCGCAGACTTAATATGAAGTGCGACTAGAAATTGATCCCTATGATGGTCTGTCAGTTCCGAAGAGAGATAGAGTTTGGACATGATGCTGATTCAATGTCCAAAAGGATTAAAAGTTTGAACTTGTTTATCCTTCAGATAAGCTGCAAAGTTAAGATGAAAAGGTTTCCAGCCATTTCCACAGCATTTTAGAAAACAGTTGCATAAGCATCTTGTATAGTGTAAAATATAGTTTTAGAGTAAGCTGGATGGAGGCCAGAGCCACAGAAAAGTTCGAAGTGCTAAAAGGTTTCACCTGGTACATTTCTGCCGGATAGAGCTGCAACAGCAACAGCTATGTTTTCAGGATCTTGAGGTTGGAAATCATACACTAATGCCTACAACACATAAATTAGTAACCTGTTAATACTTCTGTCTTTTCTTTCTTTTTCAGTTTAATCATTGGGTATCTGAAACTCCTAGCTCGATTAGTCCAGATTCGTGCCCACTCACTAAGGTAATAAATAATGAATGGGTTGTCATGAACGAAAAGACTATTATACATGAATTACTTACGTCAAAAGGGCATAGTATTTTTTTCTTTAGATTGTTCAATCCTCAGTATTTTTATTTTACGTTTTATCCTGTATAAAATAATACATATATTCCTCCATAACTCAATACCGCCAACCAAACGATGCATTTATTATTTTTTCTTATGCAGCCTGTAAGGGATTTTATACTGGGACTATACAATCAAACCAAACTACCCCAAATCGAAAACCTTCTGATTGAAAAGAAAAAGGTAATCTTGGAATTTGGGTCTGCAAAAGTCTATATTTTGAGGATAAAATGCAAGAGGAGAAACCTGAGAGGAGGAATTGGGATTGACGATAACCATGAAATGCTGCAAATCCCATAAATTGAGAGAGTAAGCAGTGGACATGAGCAACTGGGCTGGCCCTTTTGTCGCTCTCAACGGCACAACTGCTATGTATACTTCATCTCTTCTTGTTCCTACTCTGGATTTTGCGGCATTCCCTAACACAGAGTTCGATAGCATTTGCCTTTTTTCTTTTGTGGTCACAATTGGTTTCTTTCACATAACTAACATGAATAAAAATGACAACTTTTTCTAAACTCATATTTTCCTAAAAAATTTAATTTAATTTTGTACGTTTAAGTGATTACTCTCTCTATGTAGTGTAGGTTTCATAAAGTATACTCGAAATGGGATGGGTAGAAGTTTAAAATAGAATAATTCTTTTTAAAATAAATCATAAACGTATATGTAGTTATAAATTATCTCATAATGGTAAAATGGTAAGCTTGCAAATTATTTTTTTTCTAAATATTTAAATATGTCGTAGTAAAAGAAAAAGTGAACCATATCCTAGAGTATATCTAATTACGAAGAATATGGTAAAATAAATAAGTCTTACCAAGATTTCAAAGATTCATGGAGCCAACTCTAACTAATTGAAGATCGAGGTGTTCTAATTTGATACAGGGGAAGAATCACAGTAGAAGTGTATAATGAAAGAGTAGCTTAAAGGATTTTCTAAAGAAAATAAACCAATTATTTAGCTCATGTCAATTAATATGGAGGTGATGTTAATTGATATGATAGTTATAAATGAAAGAGAAAGCCAATACTTTATCCGTTTCAATTTATGTGAAACTATTTCCGTTTTAGTTTGTACCAAAAAAGAATAATTCCTTTTCATATTTAGAAATAACTTATCTTTATATAATGGTTTAGAGTAAAACTCATTTTACCCCCTTAATCTTTATAGCTTGGGAAAGGATACTCCCCTCACCTTTTGGATGGAAAAGGGAATCCCCTTATGCATTTTTCCGGATTAAGCTTTCTTTTTCTTCTCCTTTTTTTTTTTGAAAAAATAACGCTTTATTTATCATTGAATTTTTTCTACACATTAACTAAGCATGATTAAATGTAGAAGCATGACTAAAATCCTTAAGACAATCTTCTGCGTTGTTGCTCCTTCTAGATGAAAGCTAACTATAGCCATTCTTTACTGAAAATCAAACAAGCAAAAGTGAGTCACACAATCATAGAATACAATATCATTAATCCAAGATTTTCAATCTATTTTCAATGACTCTAAAGAAAGTAACTTACCTTGAAAAGTTTGTCTAGCAGTTTAGGTTTTCCCAAGATTCCAAAGTCACTAATCCAAGATTTCACTTAAAAATAAATTACTCTAATTTGTGCAACCAAAATTTTACAAGAATATAGCCAAAACTATTTTCTAGTGCCAAAATAATATTTCTTCTAAAAAGGATTGTTTTGACTTTTTACATTTATGGGTAATAGTTTTTTTGGGGAAAAAAAAAGAAGAAAAAGAAGAAAAAGAAGAAAGAGAAAACCTAATCAGAAAAAAGAATACATAAGGGGTTTCCTTACCTATTCAAAAGGTGCAGGGGTATCCTTTCCCAAACTATAAAGGTTAAGAGATAAACTCGGCTTTACACAATAATTATAGCCACACAAAATATATGTGTCTTATTTTATACCATAAGTTCTGAGTTTTCCCCCCTTAAACTCCATACCCAATTAACTAAGTTCATATAAATTGAAACGAAGGGAGTAGTTATTTAGAGTTGAATTCATGCACTATGGTCAGAATTATGACCTCGTAGTTACTGAGCTATCCCTTTTGGAAATTCCTTTATTTAATTTGTGACACAAAATTAGAGAAATAACTATGTTGTTAATAAGGAAAAGCTTCTGCGCATGGCTCATTCTCTCACGTCGCATGATAACTAACGTGAGCCTGCCATGGGAAAAGAGCGTGTGTACCATCACAGAAGCTACTAATGGCTTAAGCTTCCTCTTCGCTATTTCAGAGAGGACAGAAGAACACTCAAAGTTCTGCTCAAACCCCAATTGCTGTCCAAATTGGGGGAAAATCTAATGAAACAGTAACAAGGAAAAGTGAGGCACAAAAGCAACATGCAATTGTTCAGCAGCAATGGGAGGAAGTCATTAATGAACCTCCCAGTGAATCATCGAGCAGTGAGAAGAAATCGTGGGCTGATCAAGTCGAAGAGGAGGAGAGAACAGAGAAGACGAACTCAATTTGGGACAACTTTGATATCTCGAAGATATCAAATGCTGGATTCAAATTGGAATACGTATCCCCAATTAAACATGGTAAGTAAACTATTATAGAAATTGATACAGAGGATATTGCAACTGAAGTAGAATTTTGGAAGAACTCTGTTGTCTGCTATGTCTGAGGAGCTTTTCCCTCTTTTTCGGTTATGAAGGGATATATACAGAGGCTATGGGCAAAGCATAGTTTGAACAAAATAGTGATGCTGAAAAATGGAATTGTACTTGTTAAATTTGTTAGTGCTATTGGTATGAGTGAAGCTATACAAGGGGGATATATCACTTCGACAATAAGCAGTTTATTGTGAAGAAATGGAACCCTGACATAGAGTTCACAAGAGAGGAATTATACACAGTCCCAATATGGATCAAACTTCCAGGCCTAGAATTGAAGTATTGGAGTCCATAAAGGTTGAGTAAAATAGGAAGTCTAGTAGGAAAACCAATGATGGTGGACCAAAACACTGAGAAGAAGGTGGGACTTAGTTTTGCTAGACTGTTAGTGGAGGTAGACATGAAGGCAGACCTTCCAGATGTAGTGCTATTCAGAAATGAAAAAAGGGTTGTGGTTGAACAGAAAGTTCTCTACGATTGAAAACCAACACTCAGACAACTATTGTAAAAAGTATGGACACTCTAAGGATGATTGTAGGAAAAAGAACCCTCCAAAACTTGCTGAAAAAATACAGGAGGAAAGGGTGCAGGGTGACAACTAGAAGAAGAAAGAAGAGGATAAGCAGAATAGAAATCATGACAAAAAGGCAGTGCAATCTGCAAACAAAGACAACAATAAGAATGCAGGCTGGATCACTCCTTTGAAGACATGGAAAGCTCATATCATAGGCTCTCAGCAGGTTGCTAGTGCAAATTCCTTTAAGGCACTTGATAAACCAGGAATTAGTAAGACAAAAGAGATGGTTCCAGTGGCAAAAGTGGGAGGCCAATCCATTCCTTTGTTAGGGGATGGTTAATATTCTTTCTTGGAATGTGAAGGGGCTAAATGCCCCTAATAAGCAAACGGAGACTAAACTCCTTTGCAATAATGAAAAAGTTGGAATGATAGGATTATTAGAAACAAAAATAAAGAAGGATAGAATTGAGAAAGCAGCAGGAAAACTATTTAGTGGATAGAAATATATCACTAATTTGGAGGCTCATTATAATGAGAGAATATGGGTTACTTGGAGGCCAAAGTACTACAGAGTTAATCCAAAAAGTATCACTGCATAGGGAATAACATGTGAAGTTTATTATATCCCTCTCCAAACTCAGTTTGCTATCACCTTTGTGTATGCATTTAACACTAAGGGAAGAAGAGCTTATGGAGTTGGTTACTTGAATAAAACTCAGAATGCAAGTTGCCTTGGCAAATTACAGATGACTTCAATTTAGTTTTAAATATGGAAGACAGGATAGGGGGTAATCCAGTTACATGGGCAGAAGTAGCAGACTTTAACAATTGCATGAGAGAATGTGGATTCTTAGAACTACCTTACCATCACAGTAAATATACTTGGAATGATAGACATTGTGGGCTAAGAATATATTCTAAAATAGACTGGACTTTCAATAATGGGGAATGGTTAGACCTTATGCCATCATGTAAAGCCAAGCTCCTACCTGAGGGTATAAGTGACCACTGTCCTATAAAGATAACTCTATCAGATGATGCTCCTAGGGTCAAAAGATCATTCAAGTACTACAATGCTTGGGCACAACACTCTCAGTTTAATCAGATTGTAGCAGATTTATGGAGAACACCTATAGAAGGATGCAAAATGTTTCAGATTGTTAAAAAGCTGAAACTACTGAAAAGGAAGCTTAGTGAACTTAACAGTCAATACTTCTGCAATATTGAACAAACAGCTAAAGTTGATAGACAAGCCTTAAAGCAGATGCATGAGATGTTGCAGACTGGTCCTAGTAACCCTGACCTTCAACAGGAAGAACATGAGAAATATCAGAAGTTTAGAGAATCATCATACCTTGGTGAAATGTTACTACAGCAGAAAAGTAAAGCTACATGGTTAAGGTTAGGAGATGACAACACAGGGTACTTTTATTCAATAATAAGACACAAAAGACTCAAGTTAGCTACTATTCAATTGAAAGATGACAAAGGGGGTATGTCAGACAGAACCTGGAGTAATTGTAGATCTGTTCCTGAACTACTATCAAGAGTTGCTTGGGCAAAAGGCTAGTATTAGAAGGAGAGCATTCAAAGGCTTCATACAAAATGGTCTCTTACTGACAACAATATTACAACTGGAATTATTGCAGCCTATTGAGGAAAGGGAAGTCAAGAAGGCATTATTCCAAATTGATAACAATAAAAGTCCAGGCCCTGATGGGTATAGCAGTGGGTTCTTTAAAGCTTCATGGCACATTCTAGGCAGTGATATTACTGAGGCTATTCTGGATTTCTTCAGGAATGGAAGATTGTTAAAGCAGATTTTCCACCAACATTGCTCTAATTCCTAAGGTAACTGATCCTGAGTATGCCATCCAATTCAGACCAATTGCATGCTGTAATGTCTTATACATATATATTTCAAAGGTGGTTTACAGTAAGCTGAAAGATGTTGTAAACTACTTAGTAGCAGACAATCAATCAATATTTATGCATGGTAGATCCATGATACACAATGTGCTCATTTGCCATGACTTGCTTAGGCACTATAACAGGAAAGACATCACCTAGATGCCTAATAAAAATTGACCTTCGGAAAGATTATGATATGGTCAGTTGGGAGTTCTTAGAAGAGATTCTGCTTGGCTATGAATTTCCAGAAAAATTTGTTCAATTGATTATGGCTTGTGTGACTTTACCAAAATTCTCAATCACTGTTAATGGTGAACAACATGGATATTTTGAAGGTCAGATGGGACTTCGATAAGGTGATCCAATGTCACCTTTACTGTTTGTGTTGGTCATGGAATACCTCTCCAGAACATGTAGGCATGATGGGTGAACTTCCAGACTTCAAGTACCATCCAATGTGTAAACAATTGAAGCTGAACCATCTCATTTTTGCTGATGATTTAATGGTTCAAAGGTGAAGAGAGATCTGATAGAGTAATGGAAGCACTAAAGCATTTTAGTGAGGTGTCAGGTCTGATAGCCAACATGGACTAATCTAACATATTCATGGCAGGGGTAACTCATCAAATTAAGGAGAGATTGTTGGCTGCAACAGGGTTCTCAGAGGGCTCTTTTCCTATTAGGTACCTTGGCCTTCCTTTGTCACCTAAGAAGTGGAGTAAGCTGGAGTGCCAACAACTGATAGAGAAGATCACTCACAGAATCAATGTAACCTATGCAAAGAAGTTGTCATATACAGGAAGGCTTCAAGTGATAACTGCAGTTTTATTTTCAATATACAGCTTCTGGGGTTCAGTGTTTATTTTACATCAGAGTGTCTTAAAGGAAGTTGATAAAAGATGTCGAGATTACTTATGGGGTAGTTCAGAAGATAAGAGAAGAGTACCATTAGTTGTCTGGGAGAAGATATGTTTTCTAAGAAAAATGGTGGCCTGAACATCAAGGGATGCAGAAGCTGGAATAAAGCTTCAGTTGGGAAACTGTTGTGGTAGCTAACTCAGAGTAAGGACTCATTATGGGTCAAATGGGTGCATGACATCTACATCAAGAATGTTCGTAACATATGGTCTCACACTGTGACCAAAGATTGCAGTTGGTATTGGAAAAAAATGAATTCCCTAAAAGAGAAGATGCAAGAATGGTATGTGCAGGGTAAATATATACTAACTCCTAAAGGGGACTATTCCATAACAAGTAGCTATAATGCTCTAATGGGGGGCCAAGATAAGATGGAGAATGCGAGTCTAATTTGGAGTAAGTTTGCACAGCCAAAGCACAGATTAATTGCTTGGCTAGCAACTAAAAAGAGAATGTTGACAAAAGAAAGATTAGGCCAAATGCGGATTACAGTGACAGATATGGCTTGCTGTTTATGTGATGATCAAGCAATTGAAACAAGCCAGCATTTGTTTGGCAATTGTCCTTGGATACAGGGTATTAGAAGATCACTATTGCAATGGACAGATACTCAGCTGCATGCTGGTGAGCCAAAACTGGTATTTGATTCCATTAGAAGAAAGCATTGGCAGAAACTCAAGAAGGAAGTGATGGCTGCCATATGGGGAGCAACTATTTACCACATATGGACTGCCAAGAATAAAAAATTGTTTCAGAATGGAAATGTACAGGTGGATACTATAGTTACACAGATTAAGAAAGAGATAAAAGAGAGAATTAGTATGATTAAACTGTCAAATAGAGGAAGTATGAGTAGAGGATTCATACAGAGACTATTGTGTAATTAGAGATTTGGAGTCCCAGTTTCTTTGTGGAAGCTAGGAGCTCTTTATATTGCTTAATTTTGTTATCAATGGTAATATTCACAGCTGTTACAAAAAAAAGACAATGTTGTTTTACAGTTCACTTAACATATACGTGAATCAATAATTCATTCCAGTATTCCCAACTAAGGAGATATGGTGGGGCAATAGCCATATACTACTGCATAATAATATTATATATAAGCTTTTTCCTCAAATTAAAATTTTTTCTCACTTCACTTTTCCTTAAGTTTTATATTATTGTTTTGCTCCCCTTGCATTGAAATATATTGAGCACACTTATTGATACCGGTACTTTCCTAAAATCAATACCACATTTCACCAAAATCAAAATGAATGTGCTATTTATCTAGATAAAAAGAATTTCCCGCAGGAATTTTCAGAAACCACTATTGTTTAGTGGCTATTAACTTCCTATAGCTACCATATACATAATTACTTCCTATAGCTACTAGTTAATTGTTACACGACTGTATTCGATGTATTCACGCTACTGTATTCACGAATACAGTAGCAGAATTCTCCTAAAAATAGGGGAGTCCAGCTGTGCAACTGTATTCGCTGTATTCGCGCTACTGTATTCACGAATACAGTAGCAGAATTCGCCTAAAAAATAGGGGAGTCCAGTTATTTAATAACATAAAGAGGATCAATTAGCGTGTATCACTCCTAATTTAATTCAACAAAATCAATTCTACATAAATTTCGCTGCTACTATGCTGTATTCCATGTATTCGTGCGACTGTATTTATAAATACAATTAGGTCATCCGCCTAAAAATAGGGATTATATCTGTTTAATTGTGTATTCCATGTATTCACGCGACTGTATAAATACAGTGAGGTAATCTGCCTGTATACATTGTATTCAATTCACTGTATTCAATTCGACTGTATTCAAACAACAAAAAATTACAAAGCACAGTGTCATTCGACTGTATTCAAAAAATGCAGATCTTCGGAATACATAAATACAAGCGAAAAATAATATATTTATATAAAAATACAATATATTTGAGTGTATTTGTACAGAATACAATGTATCTGTATCATTGTATGTGACTAAAAAGCAAAGAAGAGAAGAAAGTTCGTCGGAGATGGCTTTTTCCGGCCAAGCAAAATACTGTATACATTGTATTAAAACTAAAAATGGAGACGAACAAAAATCCGGCCCTCAAATCTTCTCCGGCGTAGCCATGGCCAGATCTGTTCGCCTGAGAGGATGAGTCAATAGTGGATGATGACGCCGACGATGATTCCGACGCCGACCACGATGATGACGCCGACGATTGTGTTGATTTGAGGGAGAAGAGAGAGGATTGAGAATCTTAGTAATAGAGAGAGAAGGAAGAGAGAGAAAAAGAACATAATGGGCGTATTTCATGCCTCAATGGTAGGTATAAATAAATACCTATTTTGCTATAAAATAGAAAAGGTAGCTATAAGTAATAATATTTTGAAATTGTTTTGATTTATAATAAATATGGTGTAATAATTTGCTATAGGAGGTAAAATTTCCGAGAATATACTGCATGTCAAATTTGTCTGAAAATGTGGAATGCTTCGTACTATAAAATTTTCATACTTAATGTACAAATAGATAGAATAGCAGCAAACAAGCATCTTTCTACTTTCTAGCTTGCATATTCTTGAACTTAGTATCAATGAACTAAATGGTACAAAAGCTCATAATGCAAGAGTCTAGAAAATGAATCTTATATCAAACATATTCAACTATTCTGTGCAAACTTTACATCTCAATGGATCTCTATACAACACTTTCTAACTTCTATTGAGCAGAAAAAGTCTGCGAGCTTGAGTTACAAGAAGACAGCTTTTCTCGAGCTCAATAGTGCTATAAAGGTGTGATACTGACACTGTCTTTTGTATCTTGCATGATCAAGAACAGAGTTATTCCAAAATAATATTGCGCTACAAAGAAGAATATTACTCAATAACTAGCAAAACTTGAACAAAATGAATCAGCTATCAAAAGATCATTAATTCTCATCATAACTGACAACATCAGAAAGGAATGGATCCTTCAACAGTTCAGCGGCTGAGGGTCTTGCTCTTGGCTGCCCGATGCACCTTAAAATGAAGGCCTTCAACTCAGGATCGCTCACCCTGTTAAGAGCTTGAGGTTTTATTCCAGCAGTTACCATCTTGTATAGTTTGGCTATACCGTCACATTCACTGTAAGGTATCTCAAGAGTAGCCATTTCAATCAAGCACATTGCAAATGAGTATATGTCCACCAACTCGGTGTAGTCCTCTTCATAAAGCTCTGGTGCCATATACTCTGGTGTTCCTAGTAGAGTATGTGCTGCATGGTTCTTCCCCACAATTGTTGCCAGACCAAGATTACCAATCTTTACCTGTGTAAACATGATATTGTTAGGATGTTAAGGTTGATCAAGAGTCTTGTATCTGGTTAAATCTACACTGAAGATCACGAGTGAATACCTTTGAAGCCCGTCCTTCTTAAATTAACCAAACACTTCCAAATGTACTTCACTACGTAAGGGTACATTTTATATGGTAAGGTGATCTTAGACTCCTGCTTTTATACAAAGTTACCAGAATTACACACAGATGTAGATTCGTGATTTTAAGTTAAGGCGCTTAGATTATAACTTCACCTGCTATCCATCATGACAGTAGGTGTAGAGGTAATGCGCCCCACCAACTGCCTAAAGCGTGCGTCTACCCCGATACCCACTCAGCCAAATTTAGGATTTAAGTTCCATAAGCTATCTCTAATAATACTAGCACAAGTTGTCTTCCCCGAGACTAAAGGATATGTAAGAGAAACAGAACCTTTCATTTCCATGAATATGTCAAGAAAGTAAAGAGAGATGAACTAATTCATTAGGACTGGGCATCATTACATTGTATTTTTTACTAAAGTGGAGCTAAGAAGTATCTGACATTATGTTTTGTACCATGTAGTGTCGCATAGTTATGTCTAGATCATAGAAACATTAAGCCAGTGTTCAATACCTATAGACGGACAACTGAAGTCAGTTGAGACTGAGTTCATACCTTTCCAACATTCCCGTTGATAAAGATATTACTGCAATTGAGGTCTCTATGAATGACACAAGGTTCATGAGTATGGAGATAATCCAAGCCTTTTAGTATCTGTCTTGACCACTTCTTCAAGGCCTTTACCGAAACATGACGATGCTTCTTCCTGTAGTCCCTCAAATTACCAGACGCACATGCCTCAGTTATGAAATTCAGAATGTTCTTCTCACAGTCCTTCCAGAAATGGTACATGACTATGATGTTGTCATTCTTCAAGTTCTTCAGCAACTCGATCTCAGAATATATCTTATTGATGATGAAAGTGTCGCCGTGAAATCTGCTCAATTTAATCTGATTCCAGGCGACTTCCCTGCCTTCCGCAATATCAAACGCCCTATACACCAACTTCTCTGCACCACGGCCTAGCAGCTCTTTGTACCGTCCAAACCTCCCGGATGGATCAACCTCAGCAAATAATTCATTTTCTTGATCAGGATTTGCACTTGGCATTCTGAGTTCTATAAGAGTAAACAGAAGAAGCCTAAGCATTTAGAAGATTCTTCAGAGAAAATCTATTGCCATAATAAGACCTAAGAGATGTGAGCTTGGGCAAATCGCGTGCGAATTCATTACTTTTGGTTCAAATTATTGTATATAAACTGGAAAAACTTGTACAAATATAAACTGGGACACCACCCATTGCTTTCAGTTCAAACTGTTGCAAATAAAGTAATAAGCTTCTGCAAATACATAGGTATCCTAAGTCTGCATCTATTATCATAAAAGTGTACGGGGAAAAATGTGGTATTGTGCTCAGCGGCGGAGTTAGAAATTCTACCAAGGGGACACTACACTAAGAGTTTCCTTATATAAAAGGATTCAAAAAGTTATATATATACAAAACGAAATTCTTTTATCCATATACACAGTCCGGCCAATGGGGGATTCAACTGGACCCCCTTAACCATACATAGCCAGTCTGCTCCCACTGGCTTAAAATCTTAAAGTTGATATAATTCAACTCCATTCTATATTTGCAACAATCATTACCCTCAAAATCACTTATCCTTTTTCAACAAATTGAGTTCAAAGATTCAAAAGCTTCTGACTTTATTGGATGAAATTCATAAGTAGGAATATACAGCAAAATTTTAACAGCAAAAAGATCAATAAGTTCCGATTTAACCAACAGATAAATATTGTACCAGAAAAGAAAAACTCAAAGACACTAATTAAGATGGAATTATAGTAGTGAAAGCAAAAGCAAAAGCAAAACCTTAATTTCATCTAATAAAATAATAACAGCCTAACATATTCAGGTCAAAATCACTATTTATGATCAAAATTTCTGTGGAACCATAAATACTTGTTTGCAATTATATGGACCCTCTTGTAATGATAAATTTCCTAATTTCCAAGAGGCAGAGTTTCATAATCTCTCCTCTAGTCTCCAATTTCAACCCCACAAGAAAAGATTTCTTCCACCAAAGGTTACTGTTGAAACTCAATTTTACTCTGATATTCCTTTTCTTGATAATCTTTAAAGCTTATTCCTTAGGGAATATGATCATCATCTCAGTTGTTTAATCTAAACTTTCCAAGATGGAACAACAAGAATCAAGAAAGAAATAGTAATAATGTATGTACCTATTTTCACAATGAGTAGTGGGTAAAGTTAATATACCGCACGCTGATGAATTTGTTATTTAAAATCTACACTAAAAGATTGAAGAAAGGAAAGGGAAATTGGAAGTAAAACAAGAAAGAGGGAACCAAACAGAATGAAGTGTGATTTAGTTATGGCAATGAGAAATTAAAGAGGAAGGCCTAGCCGCCTATTTATAAAGAAAGCAAGTAAACCAAGAGTTCGAAAAAAGAAAAAAAAACGTAAACTGGGAGTCTTCTACGCACGTATTGCCAAGTGTCGACGTCGTT